GTAAAACAAACAACAAACAAAAAAAAAAAACCCCAAACAAAAAAACCCAAAACCGCCTGAAAGGTGGAACCGAGTTTGGAAAAATGCATCTGTTCTGGCTTTTGCAAGTGGAATGTGATTCTTGTTGCCAGGCAAATAGACAGAGCACGATGGCTGCAGCCAGGAACGGTGAGCCAGGGGTGGGCTGTCAGACAGGCTACGAGGGGGCTAGGACAACCACAGGGCAACAAGACATGGGGGGCACAGAGTGACAGTCCTGTTCTCGTTTTAAATGAGGAATGGTTTAAAAGTAAAACTCTTCTCCAGCTAATTTCCTCCTGCAATAAAACCAACCCAGCCGGCCCTCGTATGTACAAGACCAGTTAAAGATGAGCCTTCCCCCTCAAAACACTAGGTACGGACATCCGGTAACATTCTACAATGGAAAGTGCTTTAAGAAAGAAGGATTCTGTAGTGCCAGTGACAGAACTGATCTGATGGGCTGGATGATGCTCTCCACGCTGACAGCAGCGACTCAGGCCAGGGCAGCTCGTTTCTCCTCGGGGGTCTCCTCCAGCAGCTGCATGATCAGTTCGTGGAGGGGCTTGCAGACCTTGGCGTAGCCCCCGCCCGTCAGGTGCAGGAAGTCGAACATGTCGTGGTAGGAGATGGTGCCATCCGAGTGCACGAAGCCCACGTCCACGTCCAGCAGCTGCACGTTGGGCAGTTTGGGGAGCGAGGCTTTCAGCAGGTGGTTCACCTTGGCGTTCTTCTGCCGCAGCGGGTTTGGCTTCTCTCCACGAGGTAGCAGGCCCTGGCACGACAGGAGGCAGAAAAGAGCTTTGTGTGACTCTGATGCAATCAGGAGCCCTGCTTTCCCTTCCAATTTGGGCTGCCTGTCAAGATTTAGGATGTCTGTGACAAGGGGAACTCATCCCTTGAATCAGAATTTGTCCATTCGGGCCTAATGTGAAACGCAAGTGAAGGAGCCAGATGAGCTACAAGCACTGATCTTTCTTTTATTTTTAAATGTATCAGCTTGTGCTCTTTCCATACACTTTCAGCTCCTCAGCAAGACAGGCAGCAGCTTCTTTAGGACAAGGAAGCCAACTAGGATTCCCAAAGCCAGCTGGCATCTGGGCACCTATTTTCCCCGCACAGGACTTCCTCAGTAACATTAATAAGTGGGGTATTACTCGGAATCAGTCCACCCAGCTCTGGAAGGGCCAAAGGAGGGCTCCTGCAAAGCCAAGCCAGCGAGGGGAAGCACAGAGCAGAGGACAGATCAGGATATTGCCCTCCCAGCACTGCCCAGTGACTCCCAGTAAGGCAGAGGAGAGCCCAGGGAGCAGGGACGTACCAGCACAATCACTTTGGCCTGTGGCTGCTGGGTGTTTATCAGGCGCACGATGGCCTCGATTCCCCCTGCGACTTCTTCTGCTGTGTTTTCATGGTTATTTGTTCCAACCCAAACAACAATGACCTGCAAGGAGAGGAAAATGTTTGCAGCTTTTCCAGAGCAAGTGGTGACAGGGCTGATGACCCTGAAATCCCTGCATAAACATCATCTGTGGCCAGGGAGCTGCAGGGAGAGTCAGGCTCAAGAGTTCAGCCCTGGGGCTGGCACTGCCCACTGCCCTCAGGACAGGCACTACTGCTAGGCCTGCAGCTGCAGGTGACCTTCACTGCTCACCTGGATACCCTCACTAACCCTGCAGCTCCTACCTTGGGTTTAATGTTCTCCAGTTCACCGTTCTTCAGTCTCCATAGAACGTGTCCCGTGGTGTCTCCACCGATCCCAAAATTCAGTGCATGGAGCGGTGAGAAGAGCTCTCGCCAGATCTGCAGGCAGAAACCAACGTGCAGCCTCAGAGCAGCATCCTGCCTGTGAGGCAGAGACACCACACGGTGTCCTCGGGGCCACTGAGAGCAGCCACGAGCCCTGCTCTGAAAACTCCCTCCACAAAGGGCACTTAGACAAGGAACGAGGTTTGATTTGGGGTCAGAAGAGATGGAGCTGCTGAGGTTCGAGCTCTCAGACGTGGCACAAAGGAAGGAAAGATCTCTGGAGCAGTGATTTGCTGAACTCATCAGAGCCCCAGAGCGCTGATCTATTGCACACCACGGTGTCCCTAAGCACAGGGCCTTTGAAGAAGGAGTCTATGACCTGATTAAATCCTTCTCATCCCCAGGTAACAAAACTAGAACAAAGGGAAGCAGCTCTTGCAGAACAAAGCTGCTCAGCTGCCACCACGGCAGAAGAGAACTCTTCTTTCCCTCAATAATTTTAGGGAAGAACCAGTGGACCAATGACTCTGGCACCCTGAATTCTACAGGCTAAGTGTGCTCTGGCACAGGTACAGCCACAGGGAACTCAACGGCCCTCAGGAGGCTGGAATCTGAGAGCTGAGGGGCTGTGCCAAAATGCAGGCAGTCAGCGTGGCCTCGGGGAGGGAGGCAGGGGCAGCCAGTGAAGCGGGGTCCAGGCCCTGGGGAGCTCAGGAAGCAGGGCAGGAAGGGCTCAGGGGACAGCCGTGAAAACGGGAACAGTGGAAGTCACTAGCGTGACACATCAGCCACTGGGTTAGAGAGAGATGCTCCAATTGCTCCAGTCCACCCCTCCCTCCCTCCCTGCCTTCACCCCTACCTCGTACTGCTGTAGCAACTGCACCATGGAGTCCCCCACGAAGAGCACGTCGGGCTCCTTGTCCTTGCAGTCCAGGACAAACCGATTGTGCTGCCAAAGAGAGCGACAAGGTGAGCTCCAGGTGACAGCTGCTCCTGGGCAGCCATCCCTGCTGCAGGACAGGGACAGTTGCCCAGCCAGCTTCCCCTGCTGCGCTGCTGGACACTGCTCCCAACCCCACAGCCCCGTCAGGATCCCGGGCTGGGTGAAACTTGGCGTGGTTTCGTTTGTGGTTTATGGCCACTGCTCCTGGTCCTGTCACTGAGCATCACTGAGCTGAGTCAGGCCCCATCTTCGGGAGATCTGGTATGGATCGATGGGATCCCCTCTCAGTCTTCTCAGGACTAACCCAGCTCAGCTGAGCAGTCACTCCTCATCAGAAAGAGGTTCCAAACTTCTCTTCTTTGCCCCATGGTGGCGGGACACACAGGTGTGACAGCTGCCAGCTCCAGGCTCTCGTGACCTCAACATCCCCGCAGGAACGAGGCTCCACCTGCCAGCCTTACCTGTGACATCCACCTGTCATCTCCCTGAACGTCCTCGGCGGCGTGTGGCACTGCTGCCGGGTTGGAGTCCCCCATGCCCATTCTGTTCCTGCGGAAAGAACAGCTCACAGCCACTGCTGCAGCAGCTCCCACGCAGCAGGGCTGGGACAGGGCTGCTGGAATCTGCAGCTCCTGCCCGCTCCTGTGCGTGCTGGCAGCTGCCTGAGAACAGCACGGATGCTGCTCCACGCCAGAGTGACTCTGCAGCAGACATTCCCCCAGTCAGGCCCCGACACAGGGAACAAAGCTCAGCTCCGAGGATGCTCTGCAGCCCCACACCTGAGCAGGAGGGCTTTAACAGCTCAGCAGCAAGGGCTGAGACCGCCGGGATAAGTCCCTATTAGCAGCCAGAGATCCAGCTTACAGCTGCTGAGCTGCACAGCCCAGGTGGATAATCTGCCTTTGGGAGCAGCACAGCGTGGTGGGATTGATCCCGAGATCCCAGAACTGTTACAGATCAGGAGGGATCTCTGGAGATCATCCAGCCCTGCCAAGGCGGGGTCACCTGGAGCTGGTGACACAGGAATGCATCCAGGTGGGTTTGGAACGTCCAGAGAGGGATATCCCCGATGTCCCTGGGCAGCTGCTCCATGCTCTGCCACCCGCCATGGGAAGAAGTTCCTCCCCACATTGCGGCGGAATCTGTATTTCAGTTTATGGCCACTGCTGGTTGTCCTGTTGCTGGGCAGCATTGAGAGGGTCTGGAACCATCCCCTGAGGCTCCCTGGAGATACCCGCACGGATCGACGGCATCCCTTCCTCCGCACCGACCCGGCCCGGCTCCCCGCTCTCCCCACCGCGGGAGCCCTCCATCATCCTTGCGGATCCCGAGGGATCGACCGCGGGAAGAGCAGCGGGACGATGCTCCCCGCGCCCGTCCGCGGCGGGCAGGGCAGGGCTGGGCTGGGCAGGGCGGGTTCCCCCCGCGGTCCCCTCCCGGCCCCGCTCCCGGTGCTGCCGGGCCCGCGGCGGCCCCGCACTCACGGCGGCTGCGGCTCCTTCCCCCGCGACTCCATGGCGGGCGCGTCCCGTCCGCTCGGCCCCGCGCCTGCGCCGCTTCCGCTTCCGCCGCTCCCGCCGCTTCCGCCGCCCCGCCGCCATGACGTCACGCCGCCGCTCGCGTGACGTAACGCTGCACCGAGGGGAAGCGCCGCCCAAGTGGGGAGGGATGGAGCCGCTCCCTGATGGAGGGATGTCACCAGGAATCCTCTCCCTGTTTGCACCCTAAAACCACGGCACCGTGACGTCATTCTACAGCCCCTGACGTCATCCTCATGTGTGTGTGGGGGTCCCTGATGTCACAACAATAAGTTTGCAATTACTCGTGGGTTTTGCCCCAAAACTGAAGCAGCTCCCTGGCCCCGGGGGTGCACCAGGCGGGGCGGTCTGACCATGACGTCAGACTCACCTTCCACATCTCACTGGTTTCTCCCCAAACCCGCAGCACCAAGCGCCCCTCTCCGTGACGTCACTGTGATGTCATTCTCCCCCCGAGGTCAGGCGTGTATGCGGGGGGGGGGGTGTGTGGAATGTCCCTGACGGCGTGAGGTCACAAGTTTCCCAATTCCCGCGGATTTCTCCCCAAACCCGCCGCCTTTCTCTCTCCCACCCGCGTTCCGCCGCGCGGGGGCGCCCGGCGCGGGCGCGGCGGTGACGTCAGAGCCCCGCCCCGGTCGCCATGGCAGCCGCCCGCCCCCCCCGGGCCCCCCCCGCGGATGAGCTCACGCGGTGCCGCAGCCCCGCGGGGGGGGGTTCGCTCCGCGCGACAAGATGGCGGCGGCGGCGGCTGCGGCTGCGGGAGGAGGCGGCGGAGCGGGGGCTGCCCCCGCCGTCCCCCGGCTCTCCCCGGCCCCGCCGCCCCCGCGGCCCCCCGGGCCCGCCCGCATCGGCTACTACGAGATCGAGCGCACCATCGGCAAGGGCAACTTCGCCGTGGTGAAGCTCGCCACGCACCTGGTGACCCGCGCCAAGGTGAGTTCCGCCGCGCGGGGGGGGGTCGCGGCGCTGCCCCGGGGAGCGGGGAGGGAGCGGGGAGCGGAGCCGAGCCCCTCCGCCCTGGGCGGGCGCTGCCGGGGAGCGGGTGGCGCGGTGTCCCCGCGGGTCCCGTGGCGCCGGGATAACGTGGAGGTGGAGCGGGGGGATGCTCCCGCGGTACCCGGGGATGCTCCCGGCCAGCCGGGGGGGACGCGCAGGGCAGGCGGGGGACGGGTCGTGTGTCACAGAGACGGTGGGAATCGGTCGTGGCCGAGTCCTCAGGGCCGTGGGAAAGCAGCGCGAGGAAGGGCCTCCCGAGGCAGCGGCGGATCCAGGTGGATCCAGGTACGGCCGCGCTCCAGGTGAGCCCCGAACGTGGCAGGAGATCGGCTGTACCCCGCACGGGCGAGCGCTGAGCACGGCAGGAGACCCGCGAGGAACGGAGCGTGCCGGTGACACCGAGCTCCGGGGGACGGCTCGGCGTGCTGCATGCACCAGTGCCACCCCGGGAGCTGCCCGGAGCTGCGGGCAGCGGGGCTGGCACGGGCGGGCAGCGGGGCTGGCACGGGCGGGCAGCGGGGCTGGCACGGGCGGGCAGGGCAGGCCTGAACCAGAGCCCTGTGCCTGCCCTGCTCCCGGCTCCGTGCTGGCTCCTTGCAAGCGCTGCAGTGAGGGTGGTGTTGGCTGGGCTTGTCCCTCTCACAGTTCCTGGGGTTGCCCCTCTGTCAATTTTAGGGGTTGCCCCTCTGTCAATTTTAGGGGTTGCCCCTCTGTCAATTTTAGGGATTGCCCCTCTGTCAATTTTAGGGATTGCCCCTCTGTCACTTTCTGGGGTTACCCCTCTGTCACTTTCTGGGGTTGCCCCTCTGTCAGTTCCTGGGGTTATCCCTCTGTCAATTCCTGGGGTTGTCCCTCTGTCAGTTCCTGGGCTTCCCCCTGTCACTTTTAGGGGTTATCCCTCTGTCACTTTTAGGGGTTATCCCTCTGTCACTTTTAGGGGTTATCCCTCTGTCACTTTTAGGGATTACCCCTCTGTCACTTTTAGGGATTACCCCTCTGTCACTTTTAGGGGTTGCCCCTCTCTCACTTTTAGGGATTGCCCCTCTGTCACTTTTAGGGATTACCCCTCTGTCACTTTCTGGGGTTGCCCCTCTGTCACTTTCTGCAGCAACATTGTTTTGAAACAGGAGGAGAAATCCGCCATCGCCTTGGTTTGTTGGAGCTCTGGCTCTTTGCCCAGTTAATAAAGTGAAATTAATTTCAGGGGCTATTTAAACATCAGTTATAACACCTCCTGGACAGTTCTTTTCAGAGCTGGGCTGTATTTGCCTGCCCTGACGGCTGTTTTGTGCCTGCAAGTGCTCAATGCCACAATTCAACCTGCACTCGAGGTGTTCTGTGCTGGTGTTCTCTCCATGATGAACCTGAGCCTTGCTGAGAGTAACAGGCTGATGGGTTTGGGTGCTCCGAGTGCAGGGCACTGACCCCTCTGACTGGAGATCACCCCTGGAAAAGGAGGGATCTAGCTCCAAGTTGCTTTCCTGTTCCTGTTTCCAGACTGCCTCCTTGGGTCAAGGTTTCTTGTCAGTGGTGCTGACTCTGAAGTTCACAAAATACCGAAGCAGAGACCATCTTTTGTGCAGGAATAGTTGATTTTGTCCGAAGAATGGCAGAATACGCACCCAAATTTTGTCTGGAAATTGTGTTCCAGGTTTACAGGGCCAAGGCTGGATTTTGCACATTGGCTTTGGGTGATGGAAGAGGATACTAAGCTTGGAAAGCTTTGCTTTCCAGCAGTGTACACTCATTCCTACTGGCCTAGGGTGACCGAGGGTGGGTTGTGGAGTTCAGGAAGTGACTTTCTGGTGGGGTGGTGAGGTGCTGGGAGCTCTGGAGCGGCAGGTTTGACCTGCAGCACGTTCCCTGCACGGAGGAGATCCAGTCCCTGTCCCTCTGAACTCTGGGGGCTCCCTGAGCCTGGGGAAATACCTGTGCTGGAGCAAGTGCCATCTGTTCAGCTGAGCTGGGATAGCTTGGAGCTGAAACTTGACCTGGAAGCTTTCTCAACTCCGAGGTCAGGTTTCCTTTCAAATCCCAGCCTCTGGAGAGGAGTGCGAGTGAATGGATTGGATTCTGCTTGCAGACCCTGGGCGCTGTGGGTTCAGTACTTTTCCTTCGCTGACAGAACTGTTGCTGTTGGCTCTGGGAGAGGAGTGGGGAAGGAGAAAGGAGCTGCTTGGTTCAGGCTCTGGGGCTCATGAGATTAGTGGGGAGGTGTTGATGTAAATGCATTGGAAAGGGCAAATCCTTATGGGGAAGCATTTTTGACTGGCAGCAGAAATACAAAATAATGCTACTGCGAGCTTGTCTTCATTCACGGTTACACTTTTAACACTTTGACTTAATGGAAACAACTTGGAAGCGAGTAAAACCTTGGCAAAATGGTCCCATTTAGGGATCTGAAAGAATTCTTTGATCACGAAACGCAAGCGCAGCCCGGTTGCTGCCTGTGCTGGCAGCCCCTTCCTGAGGTGATCCTGCTCTCCCATAGTAGCTGCGTAAGAGAACCGGGCAGTTCAAATATAGCCACCAAATCCCTGCACAAACTTGACCCCGTGTCACATTCTCTTAGAGAAAAGCGGGTTTGCTCGTCACAGCCCCTCCTTGGGAACCGCTCTCCTCCACCGTCTCAGACGGAATTCCACTGCGAGTGTCTGTGTGAGCTTGGAAATAGATGTACCCTGCGATTTTGGGCCTTTTCCAGAGGTGAAATTAGTGACGGTGTGGGCTGGTGTCCATTGCTGAGCCGGGAATTAGAGGTGGTCTGTGGATGGTGTTGGATCCTGTTTTCCTTTCCGATGGACGTTTACCAGGTCAAGTGGACTTTGCCATGATAGCTCGAGATAACAGCTGGAGCATTCCCGGCCTGTGTCCCCTCTTCCCTAAAGAGAGAAGCGGATGGTAGTTGGCTGCCTGGTCTGATCTTGAAGGACCGAGATTTTCCTGGCCCTTGGGAAGTTGAGCAATGCATTTATTCAGAGAGAGGAGCAGAGCGCCCAGCCCTGCTGGGATGGCACGTTCTGCTGACACTGAACGTTGCAGTTTACATAGAACTGCATTTCAGGAGCTGAATGTGGGTCAGCAGTGCTGGGGACACTGAGGAAGGGGAATGTTAATCATCCCAAAGGGCAGGAGGCCTGTATTCATAATTGTCTCCGCTGGAGCCGATGGAATAGAAGGGAACAGTCTGCAATTTACGTATTAACCAAGGCAGCAATTTGCATTCAGTCCCTGCCCATGCAAAGTTGGACTCTTGTGCTCTGTCAGGGCTGCTCTGATGGCTGGGCAGGAGCTGGAGCCGCTGCTCTGACCGGGATGAATTGGGCACCTGCGGGACATCTTGCTGCATCCCTCCTTCTGTCCCCCTTCCTTTTGTCTCTTCTCATCTTTTATAAGAAACACTTGTTTCTGTGCTAAAAATCTTCAGAGTGACCTGCTGAATGAATTGTTTTCCACAGAATTTCCATTTCTAAATCATCCAAGTGACTTCATTAGAATTCCAGCTCTGTTCAGGCTGTGGGGTTGTTTTTAATGCCACATTTTTTCATAAGGGCTGGTCAGGGAATATTCATGAGTGTGCCAAGGAGCGCATACCTTATGTTCCCGTGCCCTTTGGGTGTTGTGTTTGAGCCTTCAGGAGCTCTTGGGGCTGAGGAGGACAGAGAGGGACGCTGTGGTCACTGGGCACTGCTGAGAGCTCTCTGCTGTCCTGGTTCCATCCCTTCCATCAGCTCCAGGTGACTGGAGATGCAGCTGGGGCAGGGAGCACCGTGTACCTGCCGTGGCTGCACTGCTCTCATGGAGTGTTTCACTGGGAGATGGGAGTCACTTTCATATCCATCTTTCTCTTGAAATGGGATTGACAGTCCTGGGAGAGCACATCTCCTTCCCAAGTGCAGTGATCTTCCTGCTGTGCTGCCTTCGCTTCTCGCGGGCTGGTTGTCAGCTTAGGTTTGAGTTGAATTTCAGTAATATGTGGATGGGCAAAGCTCAGAGCACGTTTCACTGGCTGTCTGTTGTGAGACCCTGTTTAAGGGGTACCTGGAGTGGTTTTAGTGGAGAGTAACCCAAATCCATGATGCTTTAATCCTTGGCAGAACACAGCCCTTCTACCAGCGCAAGCACAACTGGAGAAATGCTAGAATTGAGCTGATTTTTTTTAGGTTTTTGAGGAGCTAAGCCGTTTCTGGAGAACAGGAGGCAGCTCTGCCCCCACTGGGAGAGGAGATTCCCTTCCATGAGAGAACAGGCTTCGTTTCTGTGGTTTGTCTATGGGTGGGTTGGAGTCATCAGTGGAACACGTTTTTCTCCAGAGTTCTTGGAGGTGGGCAGTGTGGCACTGGAAGCCAGGATGAAAAGTGGGCTGGCACACTTGGTGGGGAGTTGGGCTTTGCTCTGGGCGTGCTCAGGCTTGGTTTGGTACCCTCTGGTCTCTGAGCAGAGGGGGCTCCAGGACGTGTCTGGATTTCTCTCCCCAGATGTACAGCGCTCTGTTCTTGGCCCAGAGGGTGGAAGAGCCGTGTGCTGCTCTGTCTCTGTGCTGCCCGTGGTGACCTCGCAGCGAGGTCTGGGCTCTGGGCTGGCTGGGGCTGCTCCTGCAGCCACCTTGCCCGTGTGATAAGCGCCAAGCGCCGTGCCCGCGCTGCCCTGACTCACCGGCCTCGTGTCAGACGGGATTGTTCAATATCGGTGCCACACGTTTTGTAATCACCCACGCCTGGTCACCTTCCATCAGCCATTTGCCTTTTCTTTCGCAGTGTTTGGTGCTGCTTCACCTGTCCTAATTCTTATTTCTCCTGGCCCTAAGGAGAGCTGATGCTGTGGATGGCTAATTCCTCAGGCTGCATTATCCTGCTGCTCACAGGGCCTTTGTTCTCTCACTTGTGTGCTGCAGGAGACTTGTATTTTAGTTCTCATTTGGTGGGGAGATTTAGCAA